CGCGCGGCAGAAGCCCAAGGACCTGTTCAAGCCCCTACGCGTGCACTTCATCGGCGAGGATGGGATCGACGCGGGGGGCGTGAAGAAGGAGTTCTTCCAGCTGCTGGTGGCGGAGGTGCCCCCTCCCACCACACCCCCCCCCCCCCCCTCTCCCCCCCTCCTCCCCCCTCCCACTACAGGATGCGCTGGACGAGATCGCGCGGCAGAAGCCCAAGGACCTGTTCAAGCCCCTACGCGTGCACTTCATCGGCGAGGATGGGATCGACGCGGGGGGCGTGAAGAAGGAGTTCTTCCAGCTGCTGGTGGCGGAGGTGCTGAGCCCCGACTACGGCATGCTGTCCTACCAGCCCGAGTCGCGGACCTACTGGTTCTGCCCCGTCACGCTGGAGGGCGAGGGCGCCTTCCTCCTGCTGGGCCTGGTGCTGGGCCTGGCCATCTACAACGGCGTGCTGCTGGACTTCCCCCTGCCCCTGGCCCTGTACCGCAAGATCCTGGGGCAGGAGGTGCGCCTGCGCGACCTGGAGGACATGCAGCCCAGCCTGGGCAAGGGCCTGCGCGCGCTGCTGCAGTACGAGCCGCCGGTGGAGGAGGTGGAGTGCGAGGCCATGCAGGTCGAGGTCGGCGTCGGCGGGGGCGACGACGCCATGGAGGTGGATGCTGCCACGAGCAGCAGGCACGCGGCGTTTAGGGTCAACGGCGCGGCGACCACGCGCGCCACAGGCGCCCCGGCAGCCCGCCCCGCCCCCACCCCGTGCGCCCTCCCGGGCCACTCGGTGGAGGAGGTGTTCTGCCAGTCCTTTGTGGTGGAGGTGGCGGGGTGGGGCGAGCGCCGCGCGGTGGAGTTGAAGCCCGGCGGCGCGGGCATCCCGGTGACGGAGGACAGCCGGCGCGAGTTCGTGGACGCCTACGTCGACTTCTGGCTCAACACCTCGGTGCACGCGCAGTTCGAGGCCTTTGCGCGCGGCTTCCTCATGCTCTGCGGCGGCCCCGCCCTCCAGCTCTTCTCCGCCACCGAGCTGGAGCGCCTGGTCTGCGGCAACCCCTGCCTGGACTTCGAGGGCCTCCAGCGCTCCGCGCGCTACGAGGGCGGCTACTCGGCCGACCACCGAGTGGTCCAGTGGCTCTGGGATGTGGTGGGCGAGCTGGACGCCGACGAGCGTCGCCTCTTCCTCAAGTTCTTCACCGGGTCCGACCGCGCGCCCATCGGAGGCCTGGCCAACCTGCGTTGCGTCATCCAGGTGGGCCAGGGTGTTGTGTGTATGAAGGAGGGGGTGTGGGGGGGGGGGGTGTCGAAGGGGGACGGGGGATCGAGGAGGGGGGGGTGCCGAAGGAGGACGGGGGGGGTGTCTCGGCGCTCTGCCGGGGGAGTAGGACGCTGTTCTTTGGCTGAACATCCTCATGGCCGCGCGGGGATCACCCAACCGCCTGGCCTGGGGGCATGTAACTCCTCGCACCATGGCTGCTCCCAGGCTGCCTGGCTCCGACACCCTCACGCCCACCGCTCGTCCATATCCCACACACAACCCACCCCTCATCCGCGCAGCGCGACGGCGCGGACTCCAACAAGCTGCCCACCAGCCACACCTGCTTCAACACGCTGCTCCTGCCCTCCTACCGCTCGCGGGAGAAGCTGGCCGACCGACTCAAGCTGGCCATCCTCAACTCCGAGGGCTTCGGGCTGGAGTAGGCCCCCGCTCGCTGGACCCCCCCCGCTGCTGCAGCCGGAACCCGCCGCTCACTAACCCCTCCCGCTCATGGACCTGACGCACCCCGACACACGCCTTGCTGACCGTCCTGCCCCCTCCTGACAGTTCTGCCTGTTTTCGACAACCCTCTCTCCCTTGTGACCAAACCATTCCATGTGAAACAAACACAAATAGCTCTCACAACGAGGCACCCTCGGGCCCCTCGCCCCCGCCCCCCTCGGGCCCCGCCTCCATTGGGGAGGGCTCTGACAGCGTCCGCTCGCGGGCCTGTGCAAACAGCTGCTGCTGCAGCAATAGCATCTCCTCCTTGCTCAGCGCCTCCTTGCCGGCAGCCTTTCGGCCCCCTATCCGGCCCTGGTGCTGCCGCTGCTCCCCCTTGAACTCGACCAGGACTGGAAGGACACAGAGGAGAGCGTGGTTGGTGACAGCTTGGCAAGGAAATCAGCTGGTTGCACGATCCTAGGCAGCCCACACCCCGGCAGTGGCATGGTTTCCCTTAACAACAGACCCCAGGCCCTCACCCTCTTGGACAGGGCCCACAAGGGTCTCGAAGCCCAGCTCTTCCAAGGCCTGGATGACGTGATCAGGGGTGATGGTGCTGCGCTTGGTGCGCTCGCTGATGACGTTGGCCTGGCTGGAGATGAGGTGCACGAACTCGTTGCAGCAGGAGGTCAGCACGTCGATGGCGTCCCACGACACCCTCAGCCCGGGGGGCAGGGCGCCCTTCACCGCCTTCTGGATGGTGGTACGAGGAAGAGACACATCTTCATCCATGGCTGGACAATGCTGAAGAGGAGCGGGTCGCCTGATGCGGCTACCTGGAACCACCCTTCAGCTGGTATCTCGCAAGCTCGAACACTTCGGGAGATCGCATCTAGGCTGTGCGCCTACCGCCATGCAGCAATCACTTAATGTTAGTCATGCTTGAAAGGTGAAGACGATTTACGATGATGAGGACTTCGTCTCTAAGGGAGGCCTGAAGGCCAAGGCTCTCCCGCACGACACCGGATCCGGTCGTCTAGGCGCGCGATTCACAAGCAAGCCACCACCAACCTCCCCGGCATAACAACATCCTCCAGCACTGCACAATCCGTTGAAACGGGTTTCAATTGGCCATAAGGAAAACTTCCAGGTGCTGAGCAACAGAACGTTATACAGGCTTGTGTATTCACCATGCGCTCATTGCAAGCGCCCAGTCCGCAGCCGCCTCCAGCAAGGCTAGCACAGGGGTGGCATCCATGCGCACGCCATCAGCAATTTGAGTCTGAGGAATTCTTGCCAGGTCTATCTTAAATCTGTGGCACGTCAAATTTGGGGGAGGCCTTACTTGTGAGAATGTTGACCAGTAGAAGAATGCCCTCCTGTTCCTTGGTCCCTAGCACTGCACACCTGGTCAGAGCCTCAATCTCATGACTTGGATGTTTCTTGCCACTCTTGGCCTCCAGTTGAAAAGTGAATGCCGGCTGATCGGACGATGGTGTCAGCTCTGCTTGGGATCCTGTCAACACGGCAGTCCACTGCTCCAAAATCCTGACAGGGGAGAGCAGGAAGGGGGAGAAGACTTGTATGCTTGAGACCCGCAGGGTCCTGCTGCTGCCAGGTGCTCACACCTGGCTTCTCGCAAGCCTGGTGAGACGACTGCTGCAGTCAGAAAGAGGTAAGCAAATGAATACTATGGACCTCCATGCCAATCCAAAAAGAAGGCAAAAGCTTACAACCCCCGACCATTCCACAACATCTTGCCTTCAAGATCACATAAACCACTCACTGTTCAGCCGTGCGCTCCATGCCTTGGAGCAGGACAGAAAACGAGGCTGTGGCTGCAAAGATCCCTGGGTCATGCATAAGGTCCTCATGGTGCGTCACCCTGCCGTGAGACAGGATTTGGACATTCTCAAAGCAAAGGGAACATGGCAAGAGCACACCACGAATGGTGCTAGTGGCGATGTGGGTTACTATGGGTCACACCCCCCTCCCTGCTGCATGCAATCCTCATGCAACTCCGGACTCACAGAGGCTGGGTGTGACAGGGCGTGCACGTCCCTGGGATCCATCGAACCACTGCCGCTCCCAGCGCCGCTCGTCGTGTGACGAGAGCGCTCAGCTGCTCCGTCACCAGTGACGGGCGCGGCTGCCAGGCCAGCAGGGGGCCCAGTCCCTGCTGCGGCTGAAGCTCCATCTGCAAGTGCACAAGGGCCACATGGGCCTGAGGGTGAACTAGCCGAGGGCACGTCGACATGGAGGTGCCATCGCGGTGCGTGCAACTCCTAAGAGCCATTCAACCCAACCCCTGACGCTGTGTATCAGCACACCTTTCGCAACCCACATCCTCGTCATCCCAAACCTGGACATGGATGGTGCGTCCGGTATCATCGCAACTCCCAGACAGCCTGCTCGTCAGCCCCTCTATCCAGGAGATGGCACAGTCTGCCAATGCATCCTGGAGCCTGCGCTCCCAGTGCTCATAGTAAGCGGCCATGCTCCGGGCAGAGCCGGTGCTAGTGCCCAGCACGCCCTCCTCTATCCGGACCAGGGTGGCCTGCAGGCTATGTGCTGCTGCCACGGCAGCCTCCTCCCCCCGCCGCACGCTCCCGCCAAGTCCAGCATTGGTGGCTGCATGATCGACGACCCTCGATCCTGTATCGGTCCCTTCCCCGGGCCAGTTTGTCTCTCTAGGGAGGGCACGCAGCGCCCGCCGCATCTCGCTTGCTGCGCAGGCTACCGCTTTGGCGGTGCAGGTGAAGGCTGCGATGGCCTGCAGGAGGGGTGCGCAGCGTGGTTCCCCAGCAGTAATGTGGCAATAAAGGCACATGGGTGGCACATACCCTCTTGCGGATTGTCTCAATGCCCCATCTGCTCAATCTCCAACCCAAGAGCCTCACCTTCTGCACGGAAGAGATGAAGGCGTCAAGAGAGAGGGAGCCCCAGTGCATGTGCTGCGTCCCTGGCAGGAGAGCCAGCCTCACTTTCTCCAGAGCCGGCTGGAGCAGCAGCCGCTCGGGGCTCCGTAGCTTGCGCCGACTCTGTGTAGGACAGAAAGTTGGAGGGAAGTGAGATGTGGCTTGAGGCGTAGGGCCTGTCGGAGGCACTGGAACCACAGTGTACAGCAGCAGAGGCATGCAGCAGGCAGCAGGGCATCGCAGCTGCGATGCCGAACTGCCCCCGCCTGCCGAGGCTTCCTCCTACCTCGGCTAGCTGCTGCAGGAGCGCCTGGAGGCGCCGCCCCGCCTCAAGCATGAGGGGCAGTGCCAGCGCCGCCCCTCTCAGAAAGGGCGGCACAGCGATCCCGAGGCACCGCGCCTGCTGCGCGGCCTGCACATGGTCGGACAGCTCCGGCAGCTTGATCCTGGCAAGGGCCCAGCCGCTGGCCGCCTCCTGCGGCGGCTGGACGAGCAGGGGCTGGCGCATGGCCGTGCCGACCTCCCGCTCCGCACGCTCGACCCAGTCCCGCCAGATGTCCACCTCTGCCAGCGCCAAACGCTGCACGAGGGCTGTGCATGTGTTTTTTGTGGGGGGGAGGGGGGGTGCTGGGGCTAGACCTCAGGTGCAAATGGGGCATGGAGTGTCGGGCAGGCAGGCGTGTATTCTCTTGCCTGCAGTCCTCGCATGCGTAGGCAGACAGGCACGCATACTCTGCTGCATTATGAGGCACGGGACCGCACAGGCTGAGGGACTGTACCTGACCCTGCCCTCCACCTCCACACCAGACCTGTGCTGATTTCAAGTAGCTGTGCCCACTCACCTGCACAGGCAGCCATCACGCCCTGATCCTCTGGAGTCAGAGCCTCGCCCGAGGCCTGGATGGCTGTCGCGGCTTCTTCCAGCCGTGACCTTGTGACGCTCACCCTGAGCAAGGTGGAGGTCAAGGCAGAGAGGCCGGGGTAGGGCGTCCGGTTCCCTGCCCCACCCTCGCACCAGCGGTCCGCCTCCCGCTCAGCCACCCGGATCTACAGTGTGCGGCGTGGAGCTGGCATGGCGCGGAGTTTCTCTCGGTCCTTGCTGTGACTTGATTTGTGGGTCCTGCCTGCTTGCTCCTTTCCAAGCTTTCCAGTGGCCAGGCCCAACCTCCATTCCCCCTCCTTGCACCGGTTTCCCCAACCTGTCCCCTCCCCCCCCTCTCTCATCCGCCTGGTTCCTCCTCACCTCTGCTGCAAAAGTCTGCACCAGGTCCGTGACCTTCTCCGGCACGTGCCGCAGCAGGGCTACACCAGCATGCCGGTCACGCAGGAGCTTGCCCAGCAGGCGGGCGCCGTCAGCCGCGCCGGGGCAGCGGGTGAGCGAGGTGTCCAGCAGGTCCTGCGCGCCGGCGGCCAGCGACTTCCCCGCAGCTTCCAAGGACGCTAGGCACTGGTCCCAGCGCCCCGCCGACCCCGGGTCCAGAAAATCCCCCGGCGGGGCCGCCAGGGCGGCGTCCCGCAGCGCGCCCAGCGCGGCCCGAGCCTCGGCACGCAGGCCAGCCAGCCGGTCCAGGCCCGCCCCCGCCACGCTTTCCAGATCGGCGCCCAGCAGGCCCAGCACGCCGTGCACCCCCGCCAGCGCCCCGGCCAGCCGCCGGCACGCGCCCGCCGCGTGGTCTGTACCTGCGAACAGGGCGGCGCGGTCGTGCTCCCAGCGCCCGGTCTGCCCGCCCGCCTCCAGCTCGGCCCGGGTGGCCAGGTAGCCGCGCCGCCAGGCGTCGCAGGCGCCCGCCGCCGCCGCCAGCCTGGACTGCGCGGCCTCTGGCGCGGCCGCCAACAGCGCGGGCAGGTCCACAGTATCCCGCAGGCGGTGCCCCAGCAGGGCTGCGGTACGAAGGAGCAGGGCATGGACGGTGCCTGCCGCGGCGCGGGGGCCCAACAGCACGCCCACCTGGAATGTGGCGGTCCATGCAGGGGTGAGCCCGCAAGCGGATGCGTCTTGCATAGACGCAGACGCACGGTTTGGGGTCTAGTATAATGTGAAGGCTCCTCGGGATAATCGCAGGGATACATGTGCCGTCCATTGTCCACGAGACTTGCGCTCACCCCCCCTCCTCTCCTTTCCACCCCGGGCCCTTGACAAGCCCAGTGCTCACCACCTTCAACATCTGGAAGAACTGCTCCAGGCAGGCACCCAACTGCTGAAGCTGGCTAGAAGCAAGACTGGCAAGCAGTTCGGAGATGGCCTGCTCCCAGCCCCCTTCCCGCCCTGCTGACGCAGGGCCCTGGCTGACCGATGCAGCGGGCCAGGAGGAGGCGTCAGGGGCATCCATCCCGGGGAAATCACGATTCATGTCCAGTGAGTGCGCCAGATATGTGTCCACAACCTGCTGGGTGGGGCTCAGCTGTGCCAGCAGGGGGGATATGGCCTTCACCACCGTGCATGTCGCCCCGGAACTCGGTCCAGCGGGAAGCGGCAGGAGCTGCACAGTGGGTCCATTCAATGTTGTCCTGGATCGGAAAAGCAAGATGGCCTTGTCCCACTGGAGGGTCTGGTCTGGGTACACGGGAAGGTGCCTGACTGTCCAGTGCATCCCTTGTGTGGGAGCCTGCTCTGAACCATAGCCTGAAGGGCAGACGCAGAAGTCGGAGACCGGGGAAATGGATGAACGATTCTCGCTGCCCACATTGCAGGAAATAAGTACCGGGGTGGAAGAGCCTGTTCGTGCGGGGGAAGTAAGGATCAGCCTTGGGGACTCCCATGTTCATGAGTCCGAATGCGGCGGCGCGGTCCTCATGGCCCAGAAGCCGGCCACCCGCCATTCCCTCACGCTCGGTGAACAGAGATGCAATCGTGCATCGCTGTGTGTCATCCAAAGCATCAACATCGAGGCCGTGATCATCTGCCAGCACGCGACTTAGCGACTCCTGGAGGTCAATTGTTATGAATGGCGTTGTTGACTCGATGGGATCGCACATCGTCTATCGAGTATCGAACGTATCAAGATTCACAAGAAGGATATCTTGAGATGCGAACCGACTCCGTAAGGCCATGGGGCCTCAACCAGTGGATCCATGTCTCGGCGGAAGCCGGAGACATGGGGTGTAAATTACCATGAGGGTTTGGCAATCTCGCGAGTCCGCACCGGTATGCTTCCTCCGGATTCCCGCCGAAGCTGTTCAGCTCCCAAAACCAGCAACACGGCCTGAAATAAGATGAAGCTGCAGGGCGCCAGCGTCCCTCATACGCCAGATCGGAGTGCACGAGAAGGACGCCAGAATCGAAGCGTGACGACGAGCAAAAGCGGCATCCCACTGAAACCACAAGCGAACCAAGCAGGCTGAAGGGCGCGTTTGCCGCAAGGTCGAAAATGGCTGCAGCGGCTAGAAACCCTGCAGTCCTGAGTGTAATAGTGCTGATACTCGCCAAATATGCCTTCGCGGTGAGCCAGGGTGCACTACTTGCGATGACAAATCTGCGTTGGCCGCACCCTGTTTGCCCCCGCTCCCCTTTTTTCGCCGTCTTCCCTTTTCGAAACCAGACCACCTGCAGCTCCACATTCATTGCGCTTCCCAGTTCTATGTAAGTCGAATGACTTGTTGGGCGGGGGATTGGGAGCAACTCTAACGATGTTCCCTGTCCGTCTAACCCCTTCCCCGCACGTGACCCTGGTGTCCGGATGCCCGTCCCACCTTCTGTGGGAGTCCACAAACTCGCCCCCTCAGTCATGAACATACGAATCGCACCTGGATCGACTACTTCATTTTGTCTTTCACCCGCGCATTGCTCTCATGATTTCACAAATGCTCATCTACTTGCAGTCTGGGGACCCATGTGAACCTCATGACAGTGGACGACACAAACGCAATCTGCATGTGGGTAGCAATGGGAGGTTGTTAGTCCATGACTATGCTTGCACAGTACTGGACTGGACCATGAAAGCCATTTTCAATTATATGTGGCTTTCCACGACCGATGGATAATACACAGCCCAACATATTCACATCTACCACCCACTGCAAGCAGGTATGAAGGCTTCAGCAAGGCGGGGTCCGTCCGCACCTCGACCCTTAACATCATGGGACTGTCCATGTCAGCCATCCGTTTGAACCCCTTGGAGGTTGTGACACCACGCTCCACAGAGATCATTGTGGCCGTGGAGTGCCTCAAGGCGGGCCAGAAAGCTTGTACGGCAGACAGCAGTGGCAACATTGGTACTGGCAACAAGGGCAAGAACAAGTTTGGCACCAAGAACGCCGGGGATGACAATATCGGTGAGCAGGGGGGGTTGGGGTTAAATGGCATGCGGTATGTGCACAGCCGCTGCACTCTTGGGTGGAACTGACTTACAAGTTCAATGGTGCTGCCTCTTCCAGGCAACTCCAATGTGGGCATGGCCAACTGGGAAAGCAACAATAAGGGCACGAGCAATTGCTGCTTTGACAAGACTGGTGATCGCAAGATAATCAACGACTGCAGCCTGCTCGAGTTGCTCAAGTATGCATGGGTCCTTGACTTACCGTTGCCTCCCTCCAAAAATTCCCGCCCCCACCTGCCAAGAACTCCCCTCCGCCACCCGCCAAGAAGCCTCCACCCCCACTTTCAAGCCCGAGCTGTCCTCCCCCAGTCCCCCCTCCTCCATCTGGCCCCCCTCCTCCCCCCCAGTCCCCCTCCTTCCCCCAGTCCCCCTCCTCCCCCCAGTCCCCTCCTCCACCAATACCCCTCCACCCCCGCCTTCACCACCTCCACCGAGTCCTCGTTCTCCACCTCCTTCACCACCAGCAACTGCCACAATTCAATTCGGTGAACCTGCAGATGGGTTTGTCAACGCCACGCATGTTCATACCACTGTGGGTATATTCCCATCGACATCGTATGCCCCATGTATTCAGCCCTGTTGACTGAGCTCAGATCCGTAGAGAACAGCAACCCAACATCCTTCGTCTCTACCTTCAAGGGGATACCAATGGCTGTGGGAAGAACCCCTCCAGATTCCTTTGGCTCCGAATTTCTCTACACAGCTCGTCTTCTTCTCTACGAAGTGATCCCTCTGACTCTCTCAAACCCTTCACCACCCTCTCCTGCATCCTTCCCACCACCACCAGCACTGGGGCCCCTCACTGGGAGCATTGGCTAGCCAGTAAGAAGTTCACATTCTCGGTGACGGCTGGGATCGTCTCTCCAGACACCATCAACTACGCGTTTTTCAAAACAGATGGTACCCCGATCTACATGGGTTCCACTCTTTACAGTAGCGACCCGACCAGTTGGGAGGAGGAGCTGGAGAATGACGCTGCAGCATGGGCATCCTTTGCCCAAGTATGGGGTGTGAGGTCTGAAGAGGGAAGCATAAATGTTCTGACCCTAAACTGGTGAAAGCCTGTTGCTCCATGGCCGACATTTTATGTTTTTGCATTGTTGTCCTTGTAATGACCATAAGAGTACATGTCGGCCAAGTATCCCCACATGCAGCAATGGACGTCAAGATTTTCCGTTCCCAGGTCGCCCTCCGTGTTCAACGTCCACGTCAACGTGGCACCGACATCAGCAGGGTGATCTTGCGCATGAAAGGTCACAAGGCAATAAGTGTACCCCCTAGACTGTCTATCTAGTTCATTTGCTGAATTTGAGGGACATCCTCTGTGCCGTGCAGGCGCCTGCGAGCTGCTACAGAAGGTGTCTGACCTTGTGTTCCCGGGAGACTGGCACTCGTCATGGCGCCCAGCACGATCGTCGATGCCGAGGCCGCTGTCAAGTCTAAGAAATACGACGAGGCACTCCGAATATACGATGAGGCAAGCGTGCACCCTGCCACACACGCCATCCCTGTGTCAAGCACTGGCCCTCTCCACCCGGGTCTGCCTCTCAACCCAGCAGCCCCACTCACCCCCACGCCCTTTCTGTAACACAGCTCATCGAGGGCAGCCATTCCCAGGATCCTATCCTCCTGGCAGATCGGGCCAACGTGCAGTACAGGCTAAAGAACATTGAGAAGGCCCTGGGGGATGCGGCCTCGGCACTGGAGCTGGACCCCCGCCAGGTTCTGGCGCTCCACGTGAAAGGGTGCGAGGGGGAGGTTGACCCCGTGCTATATATTCTTTACAGGTGATGACGGTCTCCAGAGTTTCACAAGGTTTGCATGCCAGCCATCCCTCCCCGCAGGCAGGCCCTTTTTGCGGAGGGTGACTTTTGCGCGGCGTTGCAAGCCTTTGAGCAGCTGGTGGTCCTAGAGCCTGCCAAGAGGGTGTACAAACAGTGGGTGGGAATGTGCCGCGTCCGATTGGGAGGTGAGCAGGGGGCCGAGGGCGTGAGGACGCTGGCACTTGCGCAAGATGTTGGATTTATCTGTACCAGGGGCCTATGTGCCTGTCAAGGAGGCTGGCAGTGTGCCCCGCCCAGGATGTGGGTGGAAGGAGTGTGATGTGGTGTGCTGACCTAATTCCTCCCAGCGATGGCTGTGTCAGGAATCCCATCTCACAACACGCGCAAGAGCATCCTGGCCCCCTTTCGAAGTCTTTGCCCTCATTCCTTCCTTTCTCCACCGCACCATGCTGCACAGAGAAAATTGCGCCCACCGAGGACAGCGAGGCCTTCTCCCTGGGGAAAGCACCCCAGGCCGTGCAGTCCCACCCCGTCAGCTCGCCATCCAAGCCCAAGGCCGCCACCATTGACGACGCCGAGTACGGCAAGTACTGGCAAACCAGCGCCGCGCCTGGGGGCACCGGCGGGGGTGGTGGAGCAGGGTTCTCAGAGCCCCAGCCCACCTACCGCCACCAGTGGTTCCAGACGGCCGAGAAGGTGGGCACATGGTGTGTCTTCTTGAAAGCCGCATGTCCGCTGTGGGAGTTGCACGACTCTCGAGCCGGGTCAAAGGGCTACTTCGCAATGGCGACGTCCTAGAACCTTAATGGTGTGTGTCTAACACTGCTAGGACATTTTCTTGGCTACAACTTTCCTGGCAGTGAACCCCATGACATCGCCGTCATCTGTCCCTGTCGCGCCCTTACTTTATACTCGCCCCCAGCCTCCCCCCCCAATGAAATCATACACAAAGGTGGAGGTCGGCGTGCTTGCCAAGGGGCTCAAGGCCGAGCAGGTGGAGGTTGACATCGCCGAGCGCCGGCTGCGTGTCCAGATCCGGGACGTCTCTGGAAAGCAGGACTATAACCTGGATGTGCGGCTGGCGGGCCAGGTGGCGGCCTCCCAGTCGAGCTGGAGCGTGCTGGGATCGAAGGTGGAGGTGGTGCTGGCCAAGGCCCACGCCCAGCAGTGGCCCCACCTCGCAGAGAGGCCACTTGCCGGCGGCGGGCCTGGCGTGGATGAGATGGGGACCATTGCCGATGCGTCCCTGGCCGCCCAGGAGGGTGCGGCCCCAGTCTATCCCTATGCTGGGTAAGAAGGGAAGGGAGGGGAGAAAGGATTGCCAAGGACATGTTTCAACAGAGTCCTTGTTACCCAGCGGATGTGCGAGTGTGAACATGGTAGTGCGGACGGCCTTGGGCCTCATGGCCACTGAGTGGCTCTCTTAGCCTTGTCTCCCACCACTGCACACCCCGTAAGCAGGAAGAAGGTGGACTGGGATGCTGTGGAAGCAGCCGTGAAGGCTGAAGAGAAGCAGGAGCAGCCGGAAGGCGATGCGGTGGGTGCTGTGATCGGTCGGGGTTGGCCACCCTTGTTTCGGAGCGCGACTCTGTGCAGTGGTGAGAGGGGGCTTTTCTCCAGCAACATCCACATCAGCTCAACCCATAACTCCCCATCCGCCCGCCTCCCAGGGGGTCATGAAGTTCTTCCAGGAGCTCTACCAGAATGGCGACGAAGACTTCCAACGAGCCATGATGAAGTCCTACGTCGAGTCAGGTGATTCAAGGGGGAACTACGGGAGCTTTACATTCGACAGAGGTCGCCCCTGGTGTTCATCTGCAGGTGCTTGGGGGCATCATGAGGCGCCCGGCGGGGTCCCCTGTGCGCCATTTCCAGCCCATGTGGCCTTTCTGCTTCGCAGGGGGCGTCGAGCTGTCCACCAACTGGAAGGAGGTGGCCAAGAAAGACTTCAAGGCCTCCAGGGCGAAACGCTGAGGTTTGCGAGCTCACAAGCAATGCTTCTCAGCCATTGTTCTCTCACCTGCCCCGGCCCCTCACTTCTTCCTGGTCTGCTGCACGGGTGCCTCAGGTGTGCTGGACAAGCAAGCTCAGTCAGAGTGGGAGAAGGATACGAGTTCTGTGGGGAGGGCAGTACACATGAATTGCAGGGATTGTGTGCAGGGCTCCAGGATCGTTGTCGTAGATTCAATACTTGTGCACCGCAACACTGGGTTGCAGGAGGGTAATGCGAAGAGGATGCTGCGAGCCTTTGCGGGGGCAAGGTCCCCTTGCTCCTTCGAGTGTCCTGCCGGGATGCATCTGATCTTGCAGAAAGACCCCAGAAGGGCAGCCCAGCCTCGTTGCCAGTCCCTTGCCTACTCCCCTTGGGCGATGGTGTTGTGCTGCAGAAGGGAAGCAGGGGGTATTCGATCGAGAGACTCGAATGAGGGCGCAACTCCCCAAGAGCTTCGCTCTGCACCTTCCCCCGCCCAGTGGCACATCGCTCCTTCCAACCGCCCAGGTCTGCCCTCTGACCCAATCCCCCACCCCTCCCATGATCCCACATTCCCCCTTTTCTTCGCACCAGAAGGACCAGGGTGGCCACGGAGAAGAGGACGCCCAGGGAGCAGACCAGGATGGGCAGCGTCACCTCCACCGCCCAGAAGTGAAGGCGGGAGTGGCGCGGCGCGTGGTAGTGCCGGGGCAGGGCAAAGTAGCCGATGTTGGTGACGGTGCCTGAGGCCGTCTCGGGGTCCAGCGGGGGCTCCAGGTGCTGAGCCCCCGGCGCCTCCACCACGACGTAGTCGTCGGCCGGGCGCGCCCTCTCGCCCTCACCGGGCATCGCCTTGGCCTCGCCCAGCGAGCCGCCTGCGGGGGGTGGGGTGGGGGAGGGTGCATGGGCGATCGCGCGGGGTCTGAGGGCTTGCACGTGTGCTGCGCAGCGGTTGTGGAGAGAGGCACAGCCGGCGCTGGGAGCTAGGTAGCGCAGGAAGGTCTCGCATGCGTTCGACACAGGAGATTCGAGGAGCCACGCAGGGCCCCCCCCGTCCCAGCCCGGGCTTCGTTCGCGCTGGGCACGCCCGCAATACCCCCTTCCCTCAAATCACCCTATCCTCAAACCACCTGCGAGGGGCGATCCGTCAGCAGACTTCAGGAAGGCGGCGCCGCCAGCGACACTGGCGGAGTCGGCTTGCAGGGGCCGCTGGCAGTGCCCGCGGCCAAACACCAGGAGGAGGTGGGAGAGGACGGGGATGAGGTAGGACACCAGGCACACGCCCGTGGCCCCCGTGGCAGTGATCACGTTGCCCGACTGAGAGGGCGCGGCCAGGGACACGGCCAGGGTGATGGAGATGACGATGGCCAGATTGATGCACTTGCGGGTGAAGGGCCTCAGGTTCTCGTACCGCCCCCGGCTGGCCATGACCATCCAGTTGTTGACGGGGATGCAGCAGGCAAAGACGATGGGGGGCAGGGAGATGGCCAGGTACATGGTCATGAGGAAGTTGAGCGTGAACTGGCCGCCGCCGCCGTTGCCCGGGACCAGCGTGCCGTCGGGGGCCACGGTGTAGCTGCCAAACCACTGGTTGTCCAGGATGTTGGAGGCGGTGTTATCGTAGCCGTACATGGCCGCGCCGAAGAAGGCGGTGACGATGTAGGTCGTGGCCGCCACGCCGATCACGGTCACCGCCGAGGCGGCATTGGTGATGCGGGAGCCGGTGCGGCCGGGCGGCATTTCGCTCAGCAGCGGCATCATGATGGCCTGGAGGTAAAAGGCAAAGCCAAAGGTGCTGAAGGCATTGGCCACATCGGAGATGGAGCCCTGGTTCACCACCGCAAACCCGCCGAACAGGCCGTCCTTGAGCGCAGGGAGCCCGTTCTTGCAGGAGTAGACGATGATCACAAACATGAGGAACCAGACGATGATGATACCGAAGCCGCCGATGGTCTCCAGCTTGCGCATGGAGGGCAGCAGGGAGAGGGGAGTGATGATGCACAGCGTGCAGAACACCACGATGGCCAGCCCGCCGCGGTAGGTCAGGAAGCCAGGGGCGGTTGAGGGCCAGGTGGACGTCAGCCCCGCCGCGCCGACCTCCCCGCACTGAATCATGGCGGCGATGATGGTGCCCAGGAGCAGGATGATGATGCTGAACTCGGTGAAGAACTGTGCACGGTGGGGTGGTCATGTGGAGGGTCATGAAGGGGGAATAAGGGATTCTGGTTATGCAGATGGGATGGATGGGACACGAGTGTCCTTCAAAACCATTTCAGACGTTTCATGACCGAGGGTGCTGTGCGCCATCCCGTGAGGACGGGCATGCCGCCCGGGAGGGACCGCCCGCCGTACGAATCCCGCTCCCCGTCCAGAGGGAGATCGTGCCGGGGGGAGATCGAGGCCCTGCTTTCGGTGGCCGATATCCCTAACCGACATACCTTGAACCATGGGCCGCCGACCGCGTGGGCAAAGCTCTCGTAGTCCCGCGTCCCGGTATACTGGGCCCCCCGGATGAGCAGCCGGCATGTGTAGACATTGGTCGCGCCAACCACCAGGGCGACGATGATACCCAGCACCGCGCCGGTCGTGGCAAACGCAGAAGCAACGGGAAGGATTGCACTGGGGGTAGGGGCGGTGGGGGGCTGGATGGAGCGTCCGTGGCCTCCGGGGGCCGAGTCAGAAAAACGTCGCGTTAGCCCTCGAACCCTCGCCGAGCCTCCGGGCCATTGACGGCAGACTACGATCGGCATGCATCCCTTTGGAAACTATGAGCCGGCACAAATGCATATCTTCCTGCCGAGACCTGCATTTGCCCTACCGCCGTGCAACCCTAGCTCGGGAACCAGGGCTTGGTCCCACCGACCGAAATGAACACCCTCACCTTCCGATGATGCCCAGCGTCAGCACCAGCGTCGCCGACATGAGGTGCTTCATATTGGCCGGCGTCCAGCCATGCCACTCCTCCCGAGTGTCGGGGGCCAAGGGCGACCCTGAGCCCGACAGGGCGTCATCGTTCGAGGACAGAAATTGCCCACCCGCGGAGCCTTTGGGGCTGGACATAGTACCCTATGAGGAGGAAAATTTCACATTCGTCAAGTATTTGCACTCGCAATTGCATCGCCGAACGTGGGGAACCGGACCAAAAAGCTCGCCGAAAGCCCTCTCAGCGGAAGAATGGAAGAAATGATCTTGTAGACCTTTTCGGAACTGGGAGCCTGACGAAGGATTCGTGAGTAGGTCGTATTTTACAAGAAAAGGGGCAGAGGGTCACTTGGACGGGCACGAGGCAAGCCTCGTGCTCTCCAACGCTGTGGTGTTTCACACAGGGCGGCGGCTGGAAGCTGACACGCACGGGATCAGGGGCTGCTGGAGATTGGCCCCGGCCGGGACTGGCTCCTCTGTAACAGGGCATGCAGGCTGCCCCTGGTGGGCGAAGAGTCCTCGTCACTGTATGGCACACCCTCGCCCTCCTTCCGCCTGTGATGTGGTCATGGTGTTGTTGAAGGGAGCTGATGGGTCAGCAAAGGACCGGACCGACAGTATCATTCATGATGGTAGTGAGGAAAAGCTGATGAGGATACAAGGGAGAAATGTGTTTGTGGCCTGTGTGCAGGCTCCCTCTCCCCAGCCAGGGCACAGGATTCTGGGTGACGAAGAGCGCTGCGAGGTCCACCTAGGTCCCACTCGCGCACTCACGAGCTGTTCCTCCCAGCCCTTCCTGGAGCCCCCTTTCCCAGTCCGACTCACCGGAGCTTGGCATCCCGGGCGAAAAGGCCCTTCAGGTAGGAGGGCGGCGACTGCACCAGGTTGGCGGTGTGGTTCTTCGCCTGCTTCCATGTCCGCCGCCCCATGTCGGCTATGTTGTCGCCAGTGTCCGTCACCACATCTGTGTGCAGTCGAGGTGTGCATGACGTTGGCGGGATGGTTGAGGGATAAAGACTGCGGCAACTCCGAGGAGGGAAGGGCTCACGACACCAAGTATGCTAGGTAGTGTATGGCTGGGCAGCATCGCGCAACCAATTCTTTGTGTGCTTGGTGTCCTCCAGAGCAGGGAAGACTTTGCCATGCGAAACATAGAAATAATCTGCACCCACAACCCCCCCCCTTGCATCTCGCCAGCCACAGGCAGACACCCAGCTTTTGCTGTGACCCAGCATGGGCACGCCTGATCGAGTGGCAACCCGCATTCCCACCACTCTCCCCTTCATCAGAAGTCCTCGCGTCCCCCTCTTCCGCACTATCAAAAGCCGCCGCCGCACCTTGCACATCATCCACGACATCCCGCACGTCAAACATGACCTTGACGTTTTTGAGAAAGCCTGGGCGTTGGGAGTTGGGGTCCATGTAGTCCTGTGGGCAGTTGGAGACGCAGAAGGGAGTTGTCAGGGGCTGAGTATGGAGGTCTCCGCCTCGGGGTGGGCAGGGTTTGGGTGCCATGACTGCCGCATGGCGTATGTGAGAGTGTGGCAGCGACAGCTACTGAGTGGCTGGAGGACATGCGGCCGGTGCACAGCTCGCCCCAGCTCCCCTTCCCCTCCCCATCAACAGAGCGCTGACCTCCACTTCCCCATTTCCAAAGCCTCCCCAGCCCAACCTGACCCCCACACTTTTCCTCCTTTCCCCGCCATTCCCCACCCCCAAAGAGCCCCCCCCCCCCCCTCCCCTCACCCTGGGCGGGAAGGCGTGGGCGTGCGCGATGGCGGCGGCAAACATCTCCAGGCAGATGAGGAAGTTCTGCAGCCCGGCGGCGATGTCGTCGTCGTCGTAGGTGGACCAGGAGGCGGGCTTGAGCAGGTCAAACTTGGAGGCCAGGTTGATGCCCACCGACTGCCAGAAGGTGAGGAAGACGACGGCCTTGATGACCAGGAACTTGGCCAGCGGGCGGATGGGGGCCAGCTCCTGGCGCGTGGCGCGGTACATGAGGATGAGGCAGTACAGCGCCCAGGTCTGGGACAGCGAGCCGACCGTGGCCAGCCAGGGGTAGGCGCGGTCGTGCCGGAACTCGCCGTCGCCATAGACGCCCGCCAGGTTGGTCACCACCCCCACCGCGGTGGTGAGCGGGCGGGTGATGACGTAGGCCAGCACGCCGCGCTTGGTCTCCCAGAAGAAGTCGGCGCCGGGGGCCCAGGGGCGGAGCAGGCGGTCCATGGGCGCGGGGTGGGGCACGGGTGGGCGCGTCGCGTAGTAGGCGTCCACGTCGCCGTACTCCTCCTCCAGGTAGGCCATGAGGTAGCAGTAGAAGTTGTAGATGACAAAGGCCTCGTAGCACTCGCGCAGCGGGTCGATGTAGGTGCGTGCGTCGGAGAAGCGCAGGCTCAGCCACGCGTCCACGGCGTAGATGGGCACCATCCACAGGATGCGCACCACCCGGATCTGGAGCGCGGGGCGGTTGTAGTGCTCCAGGTGCATGGCAACCTCGTAAATGGAGGCGGAGACGGCCAGGATCACAAAAACGCCCGCGATGAACCAGGCTGGGGTGTGTGTGGGAGGGGGTGGTGATTTTTTGTTGTTTTGGGGGGGAGGAGGGGGGAAAGGGGGGGCAATGGGGGAGGGGGATAAAACTCATGGGGAGCAGGGCGGTGGAGCAGCAGGCCCTGTGGCCGGCTGGGCAAAGGGCACAGGCATGGCGCCTGAGGAATCACATCCCTTCAACTCAGGGATCTTTGATGCTCCTCGCGAGCGCGGCAGGCGTGACGGAGCCTGGACAGCGGGGCATGCTCCTGCTCCCCAAGCCCCACTCCAGTGTTAGCTTTGCAAGGAGTAGCACCCCACCAGGCATCGCCACTTTGCTGCTGGGTGCTCACCCTGGTAGTGGACGGAGAAGTGCTGCTTGCGCAGCTCCACGATCATCCATGGCAGGGCGGAGAAGGTGCACAGGGTCAGCAGGATCCAGAGCTGCAGGACGGAAGGTGGTGGGGAAGGTGGTCCAAGGGACATGCCCATTCCGTGCAAGACCATAGCCCCAGATTACGTAGGTTCAGCCCTGTGACAGGACAAACTCACCCCCCGGAACACGCGGCGCATCGGGAACTGGGCCATGACCGGTCCCCGCGCCTCCCGTGCTACGCACAGGCGTGTGGGCCTCGCACTAGCCTTCCAGTCCGAGTGACGAGCAAGCCAGCCATGAACGGACAGAATTCATTGGTGCCGAAGAGTCCGGCGACCGACGACTGGCTGCCGAATGTCGGGACTAGGCGTTTCGTAGCAGTAGAATTCGCGCGCGCCTGCCCCGAGGTGGTCGCTGGGGAGCTCCCTGCGGTCACATCCGCGATTTCAGGGCTGCATGGATGGACGGACATGGGCTCCTGCCGACTCGTGTACGCATAAGAGATCACCTTGATCCATTCACGAATCTAGGAACCAACATGCAGGGCACGATGCATTGTGCTTTGGGCGGGCGCCATGCCCATGCCGCGAATAATCCACGCTCCACGCTGAGACAGGGGCGACTCACATGTGCTCAGGCGCGTCAGGGGGGAGAGATCCGGGCTTTGCAATTGATATTGTGCCTTTCTCGCCACGATTCCGAGCTCATTTGCCCTGCCCATGCAGGCCAGGTCCGATGGGCGTCGGCATGACTCGCAAGGGTCCTCTGCTCATGGCGATGCCCCCACTGCATTCCCCGTGGGCATAGCGCGGGCGGCGCTGGCCATGTCTGCCTCTGTGCTACTCGCATTCGGGCACACTCAGCCCGCCCACGCCGTGTCGGGGGGAGGAGGTGAGCCATGGGATGGGGGAGACGTGGCTGACATTATTCGGTAGTGTTCGAACCGCCTGGACGGCTGAAGGTGTGGGTGCAGCGTCGATGTTGGGATGCACGGCCCGGGTCTCTACACTACAAGGCATCTATGCCAGCAATATGATCACCTGCCAACGATCTGAAGTTGGCGGTGCCGTGAAGCTCAAGCATGCAACTGAGTATGCATGGCTTTGCTATGGCATTGCCCCTGCCTGCTGGCAATGCTTGCTGGTCTATCCGCTGACTTCTCCAAGATCCAAGCGCTCTCCTCCCTCTTAATTGCACAGGCATGGGTTCCTCCTTGGCATACAAGGACATGTCTGGCCAGGACCTTCGCAAGGCCAAGTACAACAAGGCCGACCTGAGGGGGGCCGACTTCTCCGGGTCCAACCTTGCGGGGGTGCCCATGTTTGGCGCCATCTGCGTCGATGCCAAATTTGTGGGCACCGACCTCAGCGCCGCCGATCTGGAAAGCGCTGACCTGGAGGGGGCAGACCTTACCAATGCCGTGCTGCAGGGCACCCTGGTGAGGTCGCTGGTGCCAGGATTGGTTGCGTAGTAAATTGCCTGGCATGCTCCTTGCCCGAGGACAGGGCTGCAGTGCCACATCGCCTGCGCCCTCTTGCTACTTTTCACAGTCAGTAAGCCCCCTTTACTTCCTCCCCGTCATCCCAGTTGACAAATGCTCAGTGGAAGCGGGTTGCCAGCATCGAGGGCGCCGACTTCACGGATGCCCTCATTAGGAAGGACGTCGAGGCCTCGCTGTGCAGGCTGGCCAAGGGCACCAACCCCACCACAGGCACTGACACGCGTGAGAGCCTGCACTGTCGATAGGGCGGCAAAAAGCCAAGTGTGCGAGCCTGGGGTGTTGCTTGGGGCATGTCATGACACCGGCGTTTCAGCTTTTGAAGAGTGTGTGTAGAACGGCAAAACACAAAGAATACAAGCGGAGAGGTGTGGGTATGGGTGCTTGACACGTCTTGAGCTCAGGAACACCAAGGTCCGTGTGTCGGTGACCTGGATGCAACTTTGATTCCGGGAATGGGTGGTGCGGGACCAGACTCAGAGTATGGGGGCGATGGTGCCTGCGTCGTCCTTAGAATGGAAGTCCGCTGCAGCCCACCTTCTTGTGTGGAATTGGGCGCACTGGGTGTGCCTCGTCCTCTTCTCAAACCTCGCCTGCGGCGGGCCCTGCTTCCAAGCGATCTGCCGCCAGAAGAGGCTCCTCGCCCTGGGCCTGGGTGAGACTCCTGCGCTGCTCAAACCTGGCAGCCGCTTTGTCTGCGGCCTCCGACAGATTGATCGTGCTGGCGATTCCAAGCATGACGCAGCCCTGGCGGGGGAATTGGGTGTGTGTATGGTGGAGGTGTAGATTGGATTCATGTGTAAACCATGGACCTTTCAATGCTTGGGGTCAGGGGTGTGACCCTGTTGCCCCCAACACTCCAGCAACCAAGGTCATCTTTGGCTGTTCCAATGTGGTCGAGGATCCTTCCCCACTATCTGTTACTGCACTCTCCATCGTCAGTGCCGCCGCCGCACCTGCAGGAGGTTGACGATGACCAGTCCCCACCACAGGCCCCTCAGCCCCAGGTTGCGCTTGATGCCCAGGAAGGCTGCCATCGGGATGCCGATGCCCCTGTTGGTTGATTGGGTAGGAGCTCGATGTTGGAGGGGAAGTAACCTTGAAGAGGTTTGACATGGCAGCACCCTCAGAATGGCTACCCTTGATTGTGATTTACTCCTAGGGAAAGCCACCTCAGCCACCAGGATTTCACCCGCTGCCACCCACACCCACGACCGCGCTCCAGCCCACCAGTAGCTGCAGATGTTGGCCACGGCCCCGATCTCCTGCCTCCCTGCCCCGCGCAACAAGCCCTGGAGCGTGGCATTGGTCCCATCCCCCGGCAGCGTGGCAACGACCAGCAGGAGCAGGTCCACGGTGGCGGCCACCACGGCGGGCACGTCAGTGAACACGCGCGCCCAGCGCTCGCGGTTGAGCGCGATGGCGGCCGCGATGGCGCACTCGGCGGCCAGGGTGCAGGTCAGCGCGGCGCCGACGGCACGCCGCGCGGCGGCGGGCTTCCCCGCGCCCAGGCTGTTGCTCACGCGGCTGGACAGGGCCATGCCCACGCCGGAGATGAGCATGAACTGCGCGCCGGATGTGTCCACAGCGATGCCCATGGCGGAGAGGGAGGTGGGGGGGTCGGGGAGGAGGCCGGACAGCAGGATGACGGCCTCGAAGGTCCACCACTCGCAGCAGATCATGAGGACGGAGGGCAGCGCGTAGCGCACATACTCGCCCCAGCCGCCCAGCGCCTCGCGCGACAGGCCCGCCCAGGTGGCGCGCCGGGTGCCGGCCAGGCGCCGGTCGCGCGCGACGACGGCGCCCGCCAGCGTGGCCACCATGACAAGGCCCACCGCGTCCATGGCCAGCGCGGCGCCGAGCAGGCGCATGTCGCAGCGGTAGATGAAGAGCCAGTTGAAGGCGGGGGCAGCGACCACGCCCACCAGCGTGGCGGCGGTGACCGGCGCGGCCACGCCCTGGGCCATCAGGTAACGCTTCAGGTTCTCAAACACGCCCTGGCACCACAGCGCGCCCAGGGAGGTGAGCAGGTAGTAGCGCGCGGAGCGGGAGATGTCGGGGTCCTGGCCCAGCGCGATCAGCGCGCGGTCGGCGCCGGTCCACAGCACGCCCAACGCGGCGGTGAGCAGCGTGGTGAGCAGGAGGGCGCGCTGGAGCACCACCCCGACGTGGGAGTAGTGCCCCGCGCCGTAGGCCTGCCCCGTCAGCGTCTCCATGGCCGAGGCGAAGCCGGTGAGCACCGACAGGCCGGAGACGTTGAATATGGAGGTGCTGGTCACCACCACGCTCAGCTCAAAGGCGCCCAGGCGGCCGACGAAGCCGATGGCCACCAGGCTGATCACTAGGCCCATCAGGTTGCTCAGCGACAGGGGCACCGCCAGGGAGGCGATGCTGTGCGTGTTTGTGTTGGAGAGGAGGGGGGGTGATTTGTGGGGCAAGAGTGTAGAGTAGCGTGGGGCCGGGGGGTTTGAAGCTAGGCTAGTGAGCGGCCTGGGGAAGAGGAGACTCAGGGGGGTTGCAGGGCGGGTGGAGCCCCACGCCCTCCTCAACACAATGCCGCAAGCTGTGGAGTTTTCCCACCTCCCGGGCCCTTTCCCGACAGGGGATTGAAATTCACAACATAACACACAGTTTCATCCCCCTTTAAATGCCCACCTTGCGAGCTCGGCGCGGTAGGCCGGCCAGCCGACCAGGCCCGGGGCGGGGTCGGCCGTGTCGGCGACGGGGGTGTCGGCAAAGGGGGAGGGGTTGTTCCCGATGGCCCGGGGTGACATCAGGGTCGCCCCGACCACCGCGCCGCTTGGGTAGACGTCCGCGGCAGCCTCCTCGAAGGCATCGCGCCAGCCGGGGTGAGCGGGGACTAGGGCTTCGGGGGGCATCGCTGCCGGCGAGGGTTGGCGAGCTGGCCGAACACCGACCCTTGGAGGCGTCGCCGCGGCTCAGATGGGTGGCACCGGTTGTCAAGCACAGGAATAATGGATAGAGTTCGAGGTCCGGTTGCTGCAAACGTTTGCAGGCCACCCGACCCACAGTCTGGCTGGCAGTGCAGCTGGGAGAATCCAATCGTGGCTGCGAGGGCGCGCCGCGCCCATACCTCTCGACATGGCGCAACCATGCATGCATACACTTGAACGAACGCGATATATGTTGCCGCCACGATTTGCTCACAGTGAACATATGTGATTCCTTGAATAGTCTCCGCTGAGAGGGGCCCACCGGCTGCCGCAGGCCAGGACACCAAGACACACAAGGACGTCAGCAGTGTTGTCATTGATCAGGCGCTTCTCCTGAGTTGTCTGGCACCAGTTACTCCAGAAAACATATACTGCTATGGCCAAAACAGCGGCTCGCACCCCCAGAAAGAGGGCGGCTGCGTCCGCAGCAACCGAGGTGATGGAGGCACAGCTCGGTGGACTTGCCGATGCCCTCGCCGCAAAGCTCGCGGCGTCCGCACCTCCCGGCACTGAATGGACGGTGAGGTTAAAAATGTGGTGCTGTGCAGTACTGGGGGTTTTGTTTAGGTTGTGTTGCTCGTACTGCTGCCAATGCTGACACCGACCACACTGAGAGTCGCTCCAACACATACCAGCTGGACCAAGTGCGGACGGCGCTTGCCACTGCGCTGCAAGGGCTCCCAGCCAGTGCTCACCGCACTGATCTGGAGGCCAACTTGGAGACGGGCGCCGCACGCATGCACGCCCAGCTCTCCACGGCCCTAGGCGCCAAGCGGCCCCGGTCAGCCGGTCAGGACGGTGCGAGGGGCTTTCGCAAAGGATCAGGGGTCATTGCTGCAAGGGCTGCACTCCTTTTGTTTGACAACAGCTAGCAGGTCCTGCGGGGGCACAATCTTCTGTTGAGTTGTCAATGATAGAGCCCAGGCTGTGGCCCCAGGTGTCATCGTTCTACTCTGTGCCTCCGGCTGCATGGCATGCTCCCAAACCCTCACCATACACCAAATGACCATCTTATATACCCCGTCCCTTCCTACCACTTGCAGGAGAAGCTGATGAGGAGCCAGCGCCCGCTTCCCTCGCCACGCCGGCCGGGTACCAGGCAGCGGTGGCGGCGGCCTGCGCCGAGGGCTCTGCCGTGCCGCTCGACGCGCTGTGTGCGCTGTGCCACGCCCGGGCCCCCTGCCCACCGGAGCTGCTGGCCGCCGCGTGCGCGCGGCTGGACTCCGGCGCCGCCCTGCAGCTCTGCTCCGGCGTGGCATTGGGGGCAGGGAGCCCGGGCGAGGCAGCCGCCGCCTTCCTCCCCGTGGCGCGTCGCGCCGTGGAGCTCGCGGGGGAGGAGGGTGCGCGCCTGGCGGGCGCCGCGATGGCCGCGCTGGGGCCCTGCCTCGCTCGGCAGCGCCTGGCTCCGAGCGGCCGGGGAAGTGGGACCCCGGCCGGCGTGGTGGAGGCCGCTGGCGCCGAGGCGCGCGCCGGCGAGGCATGCGCGGCGCTGGTCCTCGCGCGCCTCGCCGCCGCGGCGGGCGGCGAGGGATCGCCCGCCGCGGCCGCGCGCCTGGACGCCGACCTGGCGCTGCTGGCGCCCTGGGCCCTGCTGGGCACGCTGCGAGGGCTGGCCCCGGACGCGGCCCCGCTCCCGCCTGCGCGCGCGCTGGCGTTGACGGCGGCCGTCGTGCGCGCGGGCCATGGCGGCTGTGTGGAGGCGTACCTGCGCACGCTGGTCGCCGCACGGCGGGCGCGGCACGCGGGCACGCACGCATCAGGCGACGGCGCCGAGGCGGCGACGCGAGCACGCGTTGCCGAGGCCGCCGCGCGCGCCGCGCCGCCCCCGGCGCTGGCCGGCTGGCTGGCCGAGCAGCCGCCCTCGGCGGCGGTGGTGAGCGCGCGCGAGGCGCTGGAGGCCGACCCGCTCCGCGCCGGGCCCCACCTGCTGCAGGAGGCAGGGCAGGGGGCGCTGGAGGCCCTGGCCGCCGCGGCCCAGGCCTGGGGCGGCGAGCCGGGCGAGGAGCGGGCGGCGGCCGCCGCCGAGCTCGCCTTCTTCGTCAGCACTGAGCGCGACCCGGCACTCTGCGTCACGGACAGCGACGAAGAAGGAGGAGGAGAGGAAGAGGAGGAGCAGGAGAGCGAGGCGTCTGAGGGAGAGGAGGCTGTCGCTGCAGGTGATGCCAAGGCGGAGGAGCAGGAGAGCGAGGACGAATGAGGAGATGATGTGGTCGCTCCTGGTGCCTTGCTGCGGCCCTTCTTTTGAGTGGGGCATGCGAATGCAGGGCGTCTGGGGCCCCATCCGGGTCCCTTCTCGCTTGCCCTGTCCCATGCGGCACCCCGCAAGCGGCACGACGCAGCCCAGCTCGGGCATCTCATTGACAACGAGTCTGGCCCTGCCACTCTGGGCATGCACGAGTCTGGCGGCACATGCAGGCGGGGGTGCTTGGCGATCCCACACAGCCGCTGTTGCACACCCGCAGCATCGCCAAGCAGTTATTGAGGTGGGCGGCACCAAACTGTTGCCGACTGGACTCAACCCGGACCCCAACACCTCCATAAGTGTGTGCCTTGGTGAGTTGTAATGTACACTGTGCAAAATCAAGGTGAAGGGAGGGCTGGGGCCCCGTGTAGAGACTCGAAGACGGGGACCGAGGCGTAATCCTGAGGCACCAGAAAAATCAAGGGTTGAAGACCAGGCAGCAGGGGCGGGACGGAGAGGGGCAAGCAGGACAAATTGATTCTCCTGGGTTTTGGCCGAGGTATGCGGGAGCCTCAGCGAGCGTCAGGTAGGCAAGGACATTGCCAGACGCTCTGGCAACTGCCTTGGAGTGTGCTCTTTTCCAGTAACACAATCCCGGACCGGAAGCATTCGCATCGCTCTGGTGCTCCGCACAACGCTTTGCGCACAGCATGCTGAGGCTCTGCACGCAGCACACCGCGAGTTCCATCATCCATTCAGTCCAGGTTCAGCTTTCGCAGGTCCGAAATGGCCTGGGAGGTCGGGGTGGCGGTGGCGGCAGACTCTGCAACCCCTGCCGCCGGTGCAGCGACGGATGGGGGCTTGGCGATGCGCAGGGAGTGGGAGGGCCCGCCGTAGGGCGACCCCGGAACGGGCGGCGTGTAGGCACCGGCCGGCGCCGGCGCGGCGCCGTACGGCACCTGCTGCATCATGACATAAGGGTTGGGGTGGTACTGCATGCCGTAGGCGCTGCCTGCTGGCAGCATGTGGGGCGTGCCCGGGGGCGGATAGCCGTACACTCCATACGCGTATGAGGCGGTGGGGTGGCCGGTGACAAAGGGAAAGGGGGCCTGGTGGCTGGGGTAGATGATGGGGCGCGGGATGCGGGCGGGGGCGGGGGCGGCGGGCGTGGCGACGCCCGAGCCCTTCGGCGTGGCCGGCTTCACCTCCACGCGCTTTCCTCGCAGCTCGTGCATGGCGCCGGCCGCAAAAACTCGCTCGGCGGAGACATCCTCCGCAAAGGTCACGAAGCTGAGAGGGGGAATGTGAGATGGGCTCCAGGTGAGAGCGCATGATGCACAGGAATGGACAGCGGCAGGGATCTGACTGAAGACTTCGAGTCAGGGCTGCGCCGCTAACATGATGAACATCCACAATCCAGCATGCAAGCATCCAGTGGCAGCACAAGGGGATTGTTCCTGTGACTCATTCATGACATTCAGGACGTGATGTGCTTACTTGACCGCATACAGGCAGTGCCCCAACCAGTATGACACACCGGAAAAACACTCACCCGAAGCCGCGTGACCGTCCACTCATGTGATCTTGCATGATCTGGGCTTCCACGACCTCCCCAAACTGCTCAAAGTAGATCTTGAAGGCCTCTGTGGTACAATGCACGGATTGTCAAGCTGAGAGCGCTGATAGTGGCGCGGCAACGAGAGAAGCAGGCGGGTAAGCCACCATTTCTGGCCGATGCTAATGTCAGGGACACAAGGTACTCGGCTTGCCAGGATGTATCCCATACACAGGATTGAGACAAAGCAGCCAGGTCCCTCTTGTGATGCAATTGCCAGCTGCACAGCCCAGATCTCCACTCAAAAAGCCCAGATCACCTTCAGTGGTCTCTGGTGCAAGCCCACCGACAAAGATCTTGCGTGCCTTGGGCTTCTGCTCCAAGGGTACCGACTTCTTGGCATCGATCTGTATGTATGGTTTGGTGATGACCCTGGTGTGGAGTGCAGGTCATGACCAAGGTCGTAGCTGCAGCAGGGCTCCTCAGCCTACTCCTACCACACTCCTCCCCAGTCCCCCAAAATCTGCACCCCCCTCACCTGTCGCCCATCCACGACGTGGGTCTCCTGGACGACAGCATCTGCGACCTCCGACTTCTCAAAGGTCACGAAACCAAACCCACGAGGGCGGGAAGTTTGTCGATCACGCATGACCACCTGCGGGAGTGCGTGGACGGGCAGTAGGTCGTGAGTGGGCACTTTAAGGTCCAGCGGGAACATTTGGCGGACTCGCGACTGGCACTTACCGCCTCTCGGATGTCGCCATACTTCTGGAAGTGTTCCCTCAATGTATCTGGGAGACGCGGCGGGTGGGAGAGTTAGGTTCATGAGGATGCGCGTAGGGCACCCCAGGGCTACCCCACCCCCTTCTCACCTTCGTTTGTATCCCAGGACAGACCTCCGAGGAATAGCTTCCCTGTCGCCTCTCTGCGATACGGAGAGAATTGTTTACGACAGAGTTCGGGAGGAGACAAAGGCCCATCCTCCCAAAACTCACTGTGCGGGGGAGGTGGTGGTTTGGCTGTCCGCCTCGGGGCTCAGAGTCTCCACGCCCGTCATCCTATATGAGGGTTCCACAACCTATCAATGGTATCGTCTGGTTTTGCCAATGCAGGAGTGCTTTAATGCACCGTTCAATAAACTCGTACGGCCTCGGAGGGGGTCTTGGGCTGATTATCAAATGACCTGCATCAGCCGCAGTCAGCGGCGTGAAGCTGAGGCGGAGCTCCTGAGAAAGATGAATTACGAGATACCCATTGTCGCACAACCTCTTCATAATCCTTTTCATCTGCTCAGTTCCAAAGCTTCCGCCAGAACTAAATCATCTGTCACAGGCCTGGCCCTCTTGACATGAGCTCTGATCAGAATGGTGATGAGGCCATGCAGTGCCTCTCAGTAGCTATCGTTCAAGCGCGCACAGACTGTGCGTAGACGAGTGGCTACTTTCCCGGCGGGTGAGCCCATGATCAGGGCACAGATGGCATCCCGTGCCACTCGGATGTTCTGCGTCGATCCCAGGATGTGTATCTTTGTGTCTGCCAGGCAGATACGGGTGCGCGTCGCATTCTCAATTGTGAACTTCGTCTTCCCGCTCTTCCCAGCCAGACGGCCAATGCAGCGAGCCAGATGCTCGCCTCTCAAGGTCTGTGAGGTAATGGGCGTGTGAGCTGTTTTGCAGAGCCACGTGGCAGCAGGCTGCAGCTTGTGCCGGCAAGGGGGCTGAGGCATTGGGAGTCTCACACAAGCGAGGTTGACCTATCACTGCAATTATCCTTGCTAGATGGTAAAACCTGCTGCGCTCAGAAGCTCTTGGGCCTCCCCTCAGAGGAACCCAGGGCCAGCAGGAATTAGTTCAAGGACCAGGCCCACCTCTCCTCACCTTCACATCCTTCACTTCAAAGGACTCTATGTAAAGGTCGTCCAATCGCAGGAGAGCTATCGCATCATTCACATCAAAGCCTGATTGAACGATGGGTTGGGGTCGAAGTGAGCCAAGGGCGTCAGCATCATGGCTTGCCATGGACGCAGCATGATCGCTGTGACAAAGTCCCGACCCCTCGGCATACAGGTAAACTAGTGAGCCATGCTGATGAGCTTCAGCATGCTCCCTGGCATGCTGTGATCCTTTGAAGAGGGATGCCATTCCCATATACCAATGCTCACCCAGGATGAAGGCCTGTACAAAGTCGGCTGCTCTTTGGAGGTTGGCAAGCTCCCCGGTCTTCTCGGTGGTCTTCAGCTCGACCTGTACAGGAAAGCAATATTGTACCATACTTCAGAGAGTTGCAGGCTTGCTGGGCCGGAGTGTCGGGCTGAATTACTACAAGGTCGACCCAACATTTCCCACAGGCCCCTACCTCACTCTGTGCCCCATCACCTTCTTGCTCTTGAGATTCATGCGCATGTCCAGCTTCAGGTTCTCCGTCACAGGTTTGTATAGCGCTAGCCAGCTTGTCTTCAAGGGGGTCATGCGGTGCTGGGGCACCGGGACCCGACGGAATTGGACCACCTTGCCGTTCAGCTCGTACGCCGACAAGGGGGAAAAGTTGGGCTTTTCGCCAGGAGCACCTCCACTCGTGGGCAATGGAGTGCCCTCTGTGTCCATACCCGAGGGTCCGACCTCCTGCAGCGGTTCTGCGGCATCCTTGCGTGTGACTTTCGGCATGGCGGTGGACTGGGAGGGCAGAGAGTCGGCGAGGGATAGCTTGTCGGCGCGTTACGGAGTAGATATGTTTGCTAGGACATGTATACCCGTGTTAGCTTGCGTGAGAGTCTTGCCTGCTGGTTTGCACGACATGTACCCTCGCTCGCCTGCTGGCCGGGGGCGCGCCGTTTTCTGGCGCCTTGGGATGATGCCGGAGGGCGCGAGGGTGGTGACCTCGAGACATGACATGGAGCGATTTGAACCGATGCGATCATCGTGCACCGGCCTTAAGGAGCCACGCCCGCACTCAACCTCCCAAACACGATAATTATGTATCATCGTCGGTCATAGAGCCGCTGCATGCTGAGGACCTGCCACTGTGTGGCGTCGCTGCTCCGCCCTCAGGCCCTGCACCGCTCGGGGCCCATGACGCACCAGGGCACACTGCACGCCTTCCTGGGCGTGCATCCAGCCAAGAAGGCAAAGCATGAAGCACCAATGAGATCGTCCCCACCCAGTGATCCGCAGCAGAAGAAGACTGGGGCCGCAGGTGCCCCCCTTGCGCCACAGGACCCTGCCCTGGACACCCATGCCCTCCAATCCTCGTGAGAGGGGGATGGCACTATATTGGTCGCATCAGACGCATGATGATACATTAATTTGGAAAGAGGCTTCTCTGAACCCAGACATTCGCTAAGGACCCCCACAGACTCGACTTCACACACACACAAACTCCACCCTCGTGCAGGCCTGACCAGGACCGCGGCAACAGAGGCACCCCGGAGCTCGCCCAGCTCCTCGCCCCTGCATGGCGGGACTTGATGGGCGACCAGCTCAGCGCGTCCTATTTCCGGGAGTTGGAGGCCTTCCTGGTGGCCGAGTGGGGTGGCAAGACCCCGATATTCCCTCCACGAGATCAGATCTTCAGGTACCAGGTGGTGGCGTGCTCCTTCAGATCCCAGATCTGCGCAGCATGCCTCTGCCTGGACCAGTTTGCTTGCCTTTTTAAACCCCCATTTCTTCCATCACAGGGCTTTGAATGCCTGCCCCATCGACAAGGTGCGGGTGGTGGTGCTCGGCCAGGATCCCTACCATGGCCCGGGGCAGGCCATGGGAATGTCCTTCTCCGTGGCGCCAGGTGTCCCTGTGCCCTCCAGCCTGCGCAACATCTTCAAGGAGCTCAGGGACGACGTGGGGTGCGCACCTCCCGGGAATGGGGACCTCAGCAAGGTGACATGCTTGTGGAGTACCTGGTTGGTGGGAGGACAGGGCAGGGACGCTCCATCTTTTGCTGGGCATATGAAATTGGAGGTTGAATACAGCACGTTGCCTACCATTGAGGAACTTCCTTGGGGAAAGGATGAACCACCGATGAGAGGACTGAGCAATGCATGTCATCCGAGGCTGCAGGCATCGCGGTCTCCTGACCCCTGGCTCAATTCACGTGTGCAGTGGGCGGAGCGGGGTGTGCTCCTCCTCAATGCGGTGCTGACGGTGCGGTCGGGGGCCGCGGCGAGTCACCAGAAGAAAGGGTGGGAGCGGTTCACCGACGCCGTCATCCGGACGCTGAATCGGGAGCGTACGGGAGTCGTGTACCTGCTGTGGGGCCGCCATGCCCAGGTGGGGTGCTTGGAGAGAGTTCTGATGCAGACCAGAGGGGGGGGATCGGGGTGAGATGTGTGGGCCTGGGGCTGCACCAGCCTATGATTGAGGGCCTGGGCTGATGGGCCAGCTTGGACATGGGTCGGGGCCGGGGGCATCTGAGCCTGCATGTGTGCAGGCTCCATGGTCATGCCCAGGGAGTGCGATTCTGCACAGCATGACCAGCCTCAGCTACCGCCCACCTCCCACGCTGTGTGCAGGCCAAGGGGGCGCTCATCGATAGGACCAGCAACCATGTGCTGACAGCAGCCCACCCCTCCGGCCTGTCTGCATCTCGGGGGTTCTTTGGCTGCCGCCACTTCTCTGCTGCCAATGCCTGGCTGGCAAAAGACGGGCAGGAACCCATTGACTGGCAGCTGTAAGGAATTACCATGTTGTAAGGCATGGTCAGGGTGCAAGGGCTTCCTCATGCCTGGGACATCGAGGGGAGTGTCCGTTTGTGGCAAGAGTAAAGCCAAGCCGGGTCACTTTTCGTGATTTATCCCTGTTCTGTGGCCTGGGCAGATTGACATCCAAATCCTCACGTGTCGCACGTGGAGGAAAGTTAAGGCGAAGCGTTAAGGGTAGATAGCCCTAGTCCACCACATCCTCCCAGCACACATCGGACATCTCGGCGCCCTTCCAGCCGACACACTAGCACACACCACATCCCCTCCAAGGGCCGCACGGGGCCCTGACTCATGGAAGCTCGGGCAACCCACACGGCAGCGCAAGTCACACCCTGCGCACCCTGGCAACATGCAGCGCCCCCTGTCTCTGTCTTGGGGGTGACAGGAAATAAGCCGCGGCTGCACCGGCGCAGGGTACGTCTCCTTGGGCCTCTGGATCGCGGGCGGGTTCCGGTGGTCTGGGCTTGGGGTTTGGTGCCCGCACGTGACGATGCCCAGTCCCCTCCAGGTCGCGCCCCCCCCACCCCTCCCTGCAGACTCGTCGCGGAGCGGAAACCAGGGCAGTGGCTTCCGAGCACATCGCCACCCCCGCCCGCCCTGCCCATGCTCCCGTCGGCCAGGCCGTACCGGTGCTGGGGCCCGGCCCGGCCCCCGACACCGAGCCCTACGTCGGCGTGGCGGTGGACAACGAGGACCTGCTGCGGGAGAAGGATGCATGTGGCGTCGGATTCATCGCCAACCTGAAGGCTGAGCGCACCCATGACATCGTCACCAAGGTCAGGATTCCCTGTTGAGATGCGGGGGATGGGGGGGTGGAGGTGTCTGGGAGGCATCCGTGAGGAAGATCCTGTGTCTGGGGACGGTTTCCTGGAACGGCCACTGGCCATTATGCGTGCAGTGAGCGCATTCTCGGGCACGATTGTCTCAGGAGATCCAGTAGGGTATGCTCATGCTCCTGCGCTCCCTCTCCCCTGCCCTCCTTCCCCCCATTTCCCTCCTCCAACCCCAAATCCCGACCGCCTTCCCCCCTCTTCATGGCCCGTACTCCCCCATTCCAGGCCCTCATGGCCCTCGGCTGCATGGAGCACCGCGGCGCCTGCTCCTCAGACAACGTCTCCGGCGACGGCGCGGGGCTGATGCTGGAGATCCCCTGGGACCTGCTGGCCGAGGAGGTCCCCGGCACGGCCCAGGGCTCCACGGGGGTGGGCATGGTCTTCTTGCCCGACGATGAGGCCGCGGCGGGCACCGCGCGTGGCATCGTGGCGGCCGTGGCCGAGGCGGAGGGCTTTGACCTGCTGGGCTGGCGCGACGTGCCCGTGGACGTGGCCGCGGTGGGCGAGGTGGCGCGCGCCACCATGCCCCGTATCGCGCAGGTGGTGCTGCGGTCGCGCGCCGGCCTGGCCGGCGACGACCTGGAGCGCGAGCTCTTCATCGTGCGCAAGCTGATCGAGCGGCGCAGCGAGCGCGAGCTGGGGCCGGAGCTCGCGCCCGGCTTCTACTTCTGCTCCCTGTCCTGCCGCACCATCGTGTACAAGGGCATGCTGAACTCGGGCGCGGTGGCGCGCTTCTTCCGCGACCTCACTGACCCGCGCTACGTCACGTGCTTTGCGGTGTATCACCGCCGCTACTCGACCAACACGACGCCGCGCTGGCCGCTGGCGCAGCCCATGCGCCTGCTGGGGCACAATGGCGAGATCAACACGCTGCAGGGCAACCTGAACTGGGTGGCCTCGCGCCAGGGCGCGCTCCGCGCCGAGGCTTGGGGCGGGCGCGAGCGCGAGCTGCTCCCGCTCTGCGACGCGCGCGAGTCGGACTCGGCCAACCTGGACCACCTGGCCGAGCTGCTGGTGCGGTCGGGGACGGACGCGCGCGAGGCGCTGATGGTGCTGGTGCCCGAAGCCTATCGCAACCACCCCGACCTGGCCGCCGAATACGCGGCGGTGGCCGACTTTTACCGCTATTACGAGGGCCTGCAGGAGGGCTGGGACGGCCCCGCCCTCCTCGTCTTCACCGACGGGAAGAAGGTCGGCGCGCGCCTGGACCGCAACGGCCTGCGCCCCGCCCGCTTCTGGCGCACCGCCGACGGGGTGGTCTACGTGGCCAGCGAGGTCGGCGTGCTGGGCGACGTCTTCTCCTCCGCGCCCAACATCGTGGCCAAGGGGCGGCTGGGCCCGGGCCAGATGCTGTGCGCCGACCTGGAGACGGGCGAGTTCCAGGGGCACGTGGACATCGCCAGGGACGTGGCCTCGCGCCACCCCTACGCCGACTGGCTAGCGGCGTGCACGCACCGCCTGGCGGACATCGTGCCGCCCCGCACGGTGCTGGAGGGCCCCGCCATGGCGGCGGGGGACGCGCTGCGCCTGATGGCGGCCTCGGGGTACGGGCTGGAGGACACGGCGATGGTGATCGAGGGCATGGCGGGGTCGGGCGCGGAGCCGACCTACTGCATGGGCGACGACGTGCCGCTGCCGGCGCTGGCGCGCTCGCCCCACCTGCTCTACGACTACTTCAAGCAGCGCTTCGCGCAGGTGACCAACCCGCCCATCGACCCGCTGCGCGAGGGACTGGTGATGAGCCTGGAGATGCGGCTGGGGCGGCGCGGGAACCTGCTCAGCCCCGGCCCCGACTCCTACCAGCAAGTGGTCCTGCGCTCCCCCGTGCTCACCGAGCCCGAGCTGGACGGGCTGCTGGGCGACACCGCGCTGGGCGCGCGCGTGCTGCGCACGCGCTACGCGGGCGGGTCCCCCGGCGCGCTGGCCGCCGCGCTGCGCGCGCTGTGCGAGGCGGCGGAGGCGGCCACGCGCGACGGCGCGGCCTGCCTCGTGCTCAGCGACCGGCCCGAGGAGGGCGGCGCGGCGCTGGACCCCGCCCGCCCGGCGCTGCCGCCGCTGCTGGCGGTGGGCGCGGTGCACCACGCGCTCATCCGCGCGGGCCTGCGCACCGAGACCAGCCTGGTGGTGGAGACGGCGGGGTGCGTGTCCACGCACCACCTGGCCGCGCTGGTGGGCTACGGCGCGCACGCGGTGGTGCCCTACCTGGCCTTCGAGGCGGCGCGGCAGTGGCGCGCCTCGCCGCGCACGGAGAACCTGGTGCGCGCGGGGAAGCTGCCGGACGTGAGCATGGCGGCGGCGCAGCGCAACTACAAGAAGGCGCTGGAGAAGGGGCTGATGAAGATCCTGTCCAAGATGGGCATCAGCCTGCTGTCCTGCTACCACGGCGCCCAGATCTTCGAGGCCTACGGCCTGGGGCGGGAGGTGATAGACGCGGCCTTCGTGGGCACGGTGTCGCGCATCGGGGGCCTGACCCTGGACGACGTCCAGCGCGAGACGGAGGCCTTCTGGGCCAAGGGCTTCCCGGAGAAGAAGCTGACCAAGCTGGAGGACTACGGCTACATCCAGGCCCGGCCCAAGGGCGAGCACCACGCCAACAACCAGGCCATGAGCAAGCTGCTGCACAAGGCCATCGGCCTGGGCGGGCACGGCCCCGCGGGGGCGGGCGCCTACGAGGCCTACCTCCAGCACTTCCGCGCCGCGCCGGTCACCGTCCTGCGCGACCTGCTGGAGCTGCACACCGGGGCGGCGGCCGTGGACGTGGAGGAGGTGGAGTCCGTGGCCGACATCGTGGCGCGGTTCTGCACGGGGGGGATGAGCCTGGGCGCCATCAGCCGCGAGACGCACGAGACCATCGCCATCGCCATGAACCGGCTGGGCGGGAAGAGCAACTCGGGCGAGGGCGGGGAGGACCCCGTGCGCTGGCTGGAGCTGGATGGCGTGGACAAGGGCGGGCGCTCGGCGCTGCTGCCCCACCTCAAGGGGCTGCGGGCTGGGGACACCGCCACCTCCCGCATCAAGCAGGTGGCCTCGGGCCGGTTCGGCGTGACCCCGGAGTTCCTGGTCAACGCCGACCAGGTGGAGATCAAGATCGCGCAGGGCGCCAAGCCAGGGTGGGGGGGGGGAGGAGGGGAGGGGGGGGAAAGGCTCGGAGGCGGGAGGGGGGGGAGGCTCGGAGGCGG